GGAGCTAGGCTACAGCACCAGCTTCCGGGGTAAGCAGGAGGGACACCTAGGCTCTAGGCCCGAGTCTGCCTTAACGCATCACCCCATCTCCTTGTCAAGGGCTGAGATGTGCCCTCCAAGTTTACATGGGAAACCCTAACCTCCATACCTCCCAAAGTGACCTCAGTTGGGTTAGCGTGAGGTCATCAACATGGGTCCTGACCGTAATGACGGGTGGCCCTAGGTGAGGGGGTATTGGGGATAAACCAGACACACCTGGAGCAAAGAGGATGCAAGGAGGCTCGGGTGGCCCAGAGTGTCAGAGCCACCGACCTGCAGCAGATCCCTGTTCCCTCGCAGACATAGCCAGCACTTCTGCCTGGGAGGAAGCGGGAGGGGTGCACCTCTCCACACCGCACACCCCGTCATCTGGGACACAGATACAGGCCAACTCCCACTGCCCTCTCCTGGACCACGCCAGGCACCAGCATCAGGCTGAGACGCTGCCGGCAGAAAGGCCGGGGAAAGATGCGTCAGAAAGCCTCGGCTTAGCATTGGGAGGGTGGCATCACTGGGGTGCCAGGCGCCCCTCGCGCTGAGAAGGTGCCCCTCCGGCGTCCGGGCGCGAGCCTGGCTCACAGCACCTCCGCGCACCGGGCCTGGGAGGCAGGCCTGGGAGAAGGCCAAGGGGAGCCGGTGGAACTGAGGCGGCAGGGCGAGGAGAGCCCTCCCTCGGCACGTGGGGGACGCTCCCGGGTGCGGGGGACGCCGCGGCAGGACCGGCAGGAGGAGCCGCGCGCCCCGTGCGCCCCTCGGGCAGGCGGGCGGCGGGAGCCCACGGAGCGGGCAGGCGGCTCTGAGGGCCGAGCGGCTGGCCTCCTGGACGCGGCCGCGACCACCCGGCACTCACCGGCCCTGGGAGCACCGACGCTGCCGCCGCTGCCCTGCGACCACCGAGCGGCCCTCGGCACGGGAGCCGACCCCCTGAGCCTTCACAGCACGCGAGGCTGACCCCGGGGGCGCCTTCAAGGAACGCGAGGCTGACCCCGGGGCGACCTCGGTCACCAGGGCACCGGCTTGCTTTTCTTTCTTTCTTTTTTTTTCCTTTGGCTTTCCATGGTCTTCCCCGCCTCCTCATCGCCGGCAGAGGCGAAAGGTTCCTTCTGGACCGCTGCAAGCCGCTTTGCTATTTCTCATGTCTCGGATTCCTGGCGCCCGCCGGAAGAGACGGGCTCCATAGCTCAGTGGTTAGAGCACTGGTCTTGTAAACCAGGGGTCGCGAGTTCGATCCTCGCTGGGGCCTCTTGTTAAGTTTTACTCTTCTCATTTTTGGGGGGGGCGGTTACACTTTACTACAGTCGGCACAGACAACACCCAAGACGGAAAATGCTATTTCTGAAAACATTACCTCCGGCAGAATTGAAAATTGAGTCTGTCCGAACCAGAAGGTGATGTGGATTTCTGTAATTTGCTTTAGAAGTAACCTGGACAAGAGAATATTCCAGAACGCGCCAACAAGGAAGGAAGCAACTTGGCAGCAGCGGTATTACCCGGACGAACTGGGGCGCCGGAAACGGCTGGCTCTTCCCGCGGCCGTCAGAGTCGCCCCCTCAAGCCCCTCAAGCCCCTCAGACCCCGAGAGCCGGAGTGGCCGGCCTCGCCGTGAACTCGGCGAGCGGGGCTGAGGAGGCGCCTGCAGTGCCGCCACCCGGCCGCCGGGCGGCGCTGCGGCCTCGCGCCCCTCGTCCTCCGCGGGCGCTGGCGCGACGGCGTGGCCAGCCGGGCCAGCGTGGCCAGCCAGCCCGACCCGGGCCGCAGCCGGCGCTCGGGTCGACACGTGGCGGCCCGGCCCGGCTCGCAGGTCCTGCCCCTTTGGACTGGAGGCGGAGAGAGACGCCCAAACATAAACAGTCGCGGGCTGCTCAGGAGGCCGGAGTCTGCAGCCTGTCCCCCGCCCCTCTTCCCTCCTTTTTTCCTTGAATTCCAGAACGTCCCGTGACTGGTCGCCAGAGTTGCTGCCAAGAGATTTTTCTGATGCTCCAGTTTTGCCGGGCCAAGTTTCCTTTTCCCAGATCTCGGGCCTTAGTCTGGTGAAGGGCTCTGTGGACGGCAGGCCCGAGCCACACCTGCAGCCCCGAATGACTGAAATGTGGCGAGCCAGCCTTGAGATGGGGGCCCAAAGATTAAATATGCACGAATTTAAGTCACTTCACCACCAAAAGGAGGATGCAAGGGGGCTTTATTCGCTTATTTGAAAGAGTCACACAGAGGGAAAAAAAAAAAACAAAGTGATCTTCCAGACACTGGTCCACACCCCAAATGTCCCGCTGGGCAGGGGGCTGGGGCTGGCTGGGCAAAGCCGAAGCCAGGAGTTAGGAGTTCCTCCCACGCAGGTGTGGATGCCCACGCACTTGGGCCTTCTCCCACTGCTTTCCCAGGCTATTAACAGGGAGCTGGACCAGAAGTGGAGTATCCGGGACTTGAACCGGTGCCCATAGAGGATGCCAGTGTAGCAGGCTGGGGTTGATTGTGCCACAGCTACTACCCCTGTTGAGAATTTTACAATTGGTTACCTGTTTAGAGACAAAAAATACGCTGGTTTTATTGGATAACTCAAATGTCTAATTGCAATGAGGCTTATTTCTTTTTACTGAAATGCTACTACTGGAAAAGAGCCAAGTCGTGGTGGGTGGTTGCAGCTCTCCTTATCTTTCCGCAGGATGGCACAGTCCTGTGACCTTGCTTTCAGGTTAATTCTTAACCCGTGCTTCCATCAGATGCTCACAAACTGCAATGGGTGGAGAGAAGCTTTTCCACCTGTGTCTCTCTTAGAACCAGCACTGGTGCGTGCGGTGAGCCGCAAGCACTGCGTTCCTGGACCTGACGTTACATGGCTTCCCCACACACAAGTAGCAAGAGACTGTATTTCTAAAACAGAATCCGCTTGGGAGTCTTGCCACCACCCTCGGTCCTCCGGAGACCGTTTGTCTTTCTGTGCTCAGGGTGTCTGTTGCTAGGAACGCTACGGAGGGGGAGTGTTCGGAGTGCGGCGGCTTGCATGCTGCAAGAAAAACATCCGCCAGGACGGCGAGGGAGCCTACACCTCACCCACACACCTCACCCACAGTGGTGGCTTTTCCACAAAGCCCTTTCAGGTCGCTTGCTCCAAGGGACGTGGCCATCCAGGAACAGTGAGAAAAAGAAGCGTTCTGCTCCATCCCTCTGCCATCAGGCTGCAACACCAGCTAGTGGCACACAGAGCAATCGAGCGAGCGCCCCTGTGTGCTTTACTAATCATTTCAGCATTGGGGCCTACCTGTCCTCTTTCCTAATCCCTAAACCATCCTAGCCATATCCGTTAAGGTTCACGGGCATTATCTGCCATCTTGTAAGCCAGTGAGCCAGAGAGGGACATGCTGCCAGGCCCCCGGCTTCCCAACATTAAGGTGTCCATCGCTTCCCTTCTGCCCTATTCAAAACTTCCAGCCCCTTCTACTGAAACAAGAACCCAGAGCTCAAATTATTGCAGGTCGGACTGTATTTTTGCCATGTCTTTAAAAGAAAGATCCAGTGGGTCAAATGAGGCTTTGGGTCCAAGGGTTGAACGCCCCCAGGGTTTTTACTGCATCTTTCCACACAATGTTCCAGGATTTAATATGTCTCCAGATACTTCCTCTGAGAAGAGCTAAAAGTGCGTTTGGTGGTACAGTTCAGATTCTGCCTAGCGCATCCACATCCCATACCCGGGAGCCTGGGATCAGGTGCTGCCTCCAGCTTTACATCCAACTGTAGCCTCTTGATGACACACATCCTGGGAGACAGCAAGACTTGGGGTCCTGCCACCCACATGAGAGACCCAGGTGGACTTCCAAGCGCCTGACATCAACCTGGCCCAGTCCCAGCTGGGGAGTGAACCAACCGATGGACGATCTCATTTATTTCATATCAAATTTTTAAAAATAATAATAGGGTTGCTCAGACCCTGAAGAGTATACACAGGAGCTGCCAGGAAAGCTGTGGGGCAAGGAAGAAAAGGGTGCTATTTGGAGGAGCGGAGGCAGAAAATGAAAAGACAATCCAAAAAAACAATCTTCAGAAAATCGTGGAATTTTACATCTTTCATAAACGCTGAATAAGAGCAAAAAAATCAGAAATGTGATAGATTGAGGGGAGGGGAGGAGTGGGCACCTAAAACAGAGCCTGCTTTTATGGAACTTTCAGAATCTGCCCAGGTGTAACCAACCCTAGCTAAGCAGTGATCAGATGACCTCTGCTTAGCCTTAACAATTCCAGGGTTTTCCACTGTTTCATTCCTCATTAGCCAAGCGGCCCCAAACGTTTTGAATGTTTGCATGTTCTGAAGAACTTCAAGAAAATAGGGATCATTTCTTCTGTTCTAAGTCCTCTCATATCAACCCTTCACTACAGCCCCGTGGGGAAGGCAGGTGCCCGGGAGATGCCAACAAGGCAGCGGTCAAGGCCAGCTGAAAGGTTCCCTGTTGCCTCACCCCTGCAGTCTGTCACCTGCCTTCCTGAAGCTCACTATCTCCATCCTCAAACGCAGGTCTACAGCAGCCAAAAAGAGAAAGGTAGTGAGGTTTCAAGATAAAGTATATAAACTTGGCACATTATAGGGACTAAATAAAAGAGTTAAGTTTATTACACTGTTTGCCAAGGCTAAGTGGTGGGTGTTGGAAGGATGAAAATGAACCTACACTGGGTTCACTTTGTGAACTTTGGACTTGGGCAAAGGGGTACCACTTCAGACGGTACTTCCACCTTCCATGGAAGCTGTCAATGACAGGCCTCCTTTCTAGATCCAGATGAGTTAGGGTGGAAGTTACAGCTCTTAGACAAACTCCGTGAGGCAACCTTGATTTCCTAATGCCAGACAAACATCCAGAAGCTCAAAGGACAGGGGTCAGTTTGCACCAATGTTAATTTATTCCTTCAGCTCACAGGCATTTACAAGACATCCCAAGGAATTCCAGACTGGTGGACCCAGTAGCCACCCAGAGACTCTTGCAGTGGGCGACATGGCCTGTCTGCAGAAGCACTGTGTATGTGGACAAAGCCCACTTGTCACTCCATAGATGGCAAGCCTTGCCAGACAGGACAACCATGAGGCTCTTGATGGAAAGTCCTGTCCACCTGCTCCCTCCTCCACTCCAGCAGTAGCTCCCAAGTGACAAGCTGGAGCACTCTCTGCCACAGTCCCCTTGGCCAGCTTCACCAAAGTTTAAGGGAGGCTAGCCCCTGCTGGCCTCCGCTGTGCTGAAAGCCTTATCCTGCCACTGCGGGGGTACAGGCTCTTCTTCCTCAGCCCCTGGGAGGCTGGAAACCATGCTCTGGCTTTCTTCTTTCTCCCAGGCCCTCGCTGCCTTGTCTTGCTGTGTGTGGCAGAAGCCAGCTTCTTGGATGAGGCCCGGTCTGCACTGGAAGCCAAGGTGCCATTGGATGTTTTCCTGGCAGCTTTCTCTGATTGCTCCTTTAGCAAATCCAAGACCGTCTCTGGGAAACAAGCATTTGTTTGGTGAGAAATAGAATCCCTGGAAAGTAGCTAGAAAGGAAGTGCCTCCCGGGAATCCCATAAGTGCATGGAGGCTTTTACTACCTGGTCCACGTCTATGTAAACATACCGTCTTCCGGGCAAGGTCAGGGCAGAGATGCCTGACTCGGGCATGCTCCCTTTGAGCTAGCAGCATCCTCTCTGGGTACCTCCTGACTTCCTGCTCTCCCTGAGGAAGACTTCCTCACCCTCGGGGCCCTCTGCATGCCCTGGGCAACCTTCCATGGCACAACCTCAGGGCTCCATGTATGTTTGTATGGCTGCCCTACTCCAGTTCATGTTTGACTCTGGAGTGCTATGGATCAGAGACCTTGGCATTCACTGCTGCCCACACGCTCCAGTGCCTGCCATAACATTCAGTACTGAATGAGTGATACATAAATGATGAACGTTATGAATGGACAGAGAGCAGGCCCCAGGAGAAGCAGGGGTCCTTCCCACTCACTGGGAGTCACAGAAGATGTAAACAGACTGAACAAGGAGCAACCTCATTAAAACACTACCTCTTAGGGAGGAAGCTATGACACCCCACCCCACCCCCAGGATTAGACTAAAGGCACTGCGGCACCTGTCTGTGGCCCTGGCAGGCTAAGTGCTGAATCTGAGACCCAAAGACAACTCACTGGCAAGTGGCCGGAACGGAATCCGCTTACTCTTGGTTTGCACTGGCACTGGCTTGTGTTTGCACTTGCCTGGGGGTGCACGCCTGAAAAATGAAGAGAAAACAGGGTGAGGTCACAAAACTCCCAAGATTCCATCAGGAGGCAGGTCACCAGGACACACATCGACAGTCCTTACCCAGGGGCATGGAGTAGATACTAGGAAACCTGCTGTGAGCTCAGCCGAGGGGAGAAAGAGTGTGGGAGTTACATAGCACTTCAGATCCCCTGGAGATGGCAGGGGTTAGGAGCAAGGGCATAGTAACAGAACTGGGTCCTAACCCCAGTGACCGAGGCAAGGAACCCTTGTCCAGTCTTAATTTTTGCATGTATGAAATGCAAAAAGTAATAGTACCCTCTTGCAGCCACACAGTGAATATTAAATGAGAGCTGGGTGTCTGGAATGACACAAGTGACTGATTAGGAAAAAAAAAAAAAGACAGTTGGAACACGGTAACAGGTGCTCTAAAGATGACAATAATGAGGAGGAAGAGGAAGATGCGGCTGCTTTCGATGATGGTGGTGGTGGCAACTTCAAGAAATTTGTGGCACAGTCCCCTTAAATAACAGCCAGCTCCCCGCCTCGTAACCTGCTCAGTCTCAAACCGCTTGTCCCCTGGGTGGGTTGTCTGAGATAACAGGGATGCTGGTGATGGCAAGCTCTGCTGCTGGTCAGGGTAGAGCTGGCACTGCCAGCAGTCCCCACTGCCCATCTGCCTTCTCCGACTTTGAGCCTCATTCCACACCCTCGGGAAGAAATAGCTTTATTCATTTAGCAAACCCCTAGGAAATACTAGACACTATTCTAAGTGCTTCAGAAATATTAACTCATTCAGTCTTCACACCATGCCTAGGAAGTAGGTGCTGTTGTTATTCCCACTCTACAGACAGGAAAGTACGGCACACAAAGGCTAGAAAATGGGCTCGAGCTCAGTGACAAAGCCGAGATCTAAACACAGGCTCCTGAATCTGGCCTGTTGACCACTATAGTTTGCTGCCTCTTAAAGATGGGCAGGAGGAAAAGCCAGGAGAGGGGGAAAATATATCAGTCAACCAACTGCCCATCAGGATGCAGGGACTGCATGTTGGGGCAAACGCAGGCTGGTTAAGTAAACAGAGCAGGTCCAGTTCATTACGACAGAGTGTTACAGAGCCTGGGTGCTGGGATGGACTCAGCTGTACTGAATGAACAGCTGATGGACTTTGATCGACCAAGAGAAAGGCTTCCTACCTCAAGCCAGTCCTTTCACTTTCTGACTTCACTTCCTTATTCATAGACTGTGGCTGTCAGCCGTGCACGGTGGGGAATCTGTTAGCATGAGGTGAGAGCCTGCACACAGCGCTCAGCACAGCAGCTGGAACACAGCGATGACTCAGGGAACAGCAACCCCAGAGTAAGTGCAGAAAGACATCTTCCGCATAGTACAAGGCTTACCAGCTGACACTCCCACGGATGCTCTTACAAAAGGGGAGTTCTGGCACATTGGCTCAACCCACTAATTCTCCACCTACAAGAGCAGCATTCGATATGTGCACTGGTTCTAATCCCTGCTGCTCCACTTCCCTTCCAGCTCCCTGCTTGTGACCTGGAAAAGTAACAGAGAATGGCCCAAAGCCTTAGCACCCTGCACCCATGTGGGAGACCAGAGGAGGCTCCTGGCTTCAGATTGGCTCAGCTGTACTCATCGTGGCCATTTGTGGAGTGAGCCAGAGGATGGAAGGTCTTTTTCTCTGTCTTTCCTTCTCTATATATAAATCTGCCTTTCCAATAAAAATTAATTTAAAAAAAAATTTTTTAAAGAAAAAAAAAAAGATTTCAGCTAGCCACAAACCTATCAGGAAACTGCCAAAGAAGAATGACTTCACACAGGAAACTTGTTAGGGGGAAGAGCCGAATTCCTTAGGCAGGTGTTATCAGCCACCTGTGCCTGGCCCTGCTCCATCCCTGGTGCATATGTGGGATACACACGGAGGTAGACCCAGAACAGGAGACAGCCCAGTACCAAGTTCATTCCTTGACACCGTGCTCCACACTCAGCCAAGAAGATGCAGCCCAGGATCGAGGTCTGAGCCTCTTGCACAAACTTCTGACAAATGCACCAAGTAGAGGGAGGCCTTGTTGTCAGATGGAAGCTGAACTGGGCCAGAGCTGACAGCCCAGAGCTTTAATCAGTAACTTGGACCTAGTTACCTAATGTCTGCTCAACTCTAACCCAGATATGTGTAGCATAAGTCTCAGAGGGAAGTTTTGCTCTGCAGATCTAATAGCTCAATCCCAGAAAGAATTCCCTGGTTTGGGTAAGAATCCTGAAACAAATTCAGTACTCGATCCAGACTCCTCATGGTGGAAATACTGCACTACCCTCCCAGGGGCAGCCACAGTGACCACCCACTCAACAACTCACATTATGGACTTGGGCTATTCTGTTGAAGGACTGTTAGCCTCGGAGAGAGGTGAACAAGGAAGGAGAAGTTAATAGCCTGGCATCCACCAAGTGCCTGGATACTATGGCTGAGTTCCAGAGAGGCGAGGTAGAGAGGCTTGAGATAACCCCGCCCAGGAGAGAGAGCATCAGTATTCACTCAGCTGCTCACAGATGGACACCTGCTGTCAGATGAGCCCAGACAGACATTTCCAGAAGCTCATGTGTTTTTTTAGGAGCCACAGATTGAGACTGGCTATTCTGAGTCTCTAGATCTTTATTTCCAACAGCTGCAAGACCATTTCCCAAATCTTCCCTACTTCTTGTAAGTACATTGTTTTGCATGTTTATTTAAACCACTTTATGTCTATCTTGGCAGGGGTATAGAACCCCCAGGCTATAGACCTGGAAAATAATTTCTTTTGGCCCTGCCAACACCATTTCAAGTATGACTCGAAATTTAGTAAATCCATAGTACACTAGTTTTTAAGTTGATCATTTTGAGTGACCCATGAATGATATTAGAAACACCCAAATGGGTCTTGACAGACAAAAGATGTCCCACCTCGAAAAGCTTGCTTCCTCAAACATTTTGGAGATGCTCTCGGGGGCAGAGGATGTGACTGCCATCAAGGTAAGGGCGGGCAAAAATGCACCTGAGCTGAAGAGGACACCACAACTCACCTGGAGGGATCAATAAACTTGTAAATAGATCCGTAGGCTGCATAGGCACTTGGATATGAGGTGGCCAGGAAGTACAGCTCCCCTAAGGAAACAGGAGGAAGCACACAGTTACCACACATCAGCTCAGCTGAGCAGAGCTGCACACAAAGAAAGCCACCAAGAGGAGACTGCAGCCCTTGAATGCAGCAAGGCCCTGTTCAGGGCCCTGGATCCCTGGTTCACAGCCAGGCCTTCACTCCCCTGCAAGGGAGTAGGGATGAGCAGTCATTAACAAAGCCCCGAAGACCAGCTCAGAGTGTAGCCTAGCAGTGGTAACTGTATGTGAACTAAAAATCCCAAATCACCTCTTTGCTCTTGGAAGCTTTGCCTCTGCAAGCACCTCTTTCCTTCCCCAATTTGTTTGTTTGTTTGTTTGTTTTTAAGATTTCGTTGTTTACTGAGTGATGGAGAGACAGACAGGAAGCTCCCCCATCCACTGGTTCACTCCCCAACTAACCACAATGGCCAGAGTTCAGTCAATCAGAAGCCAGGATCCAGGAGCTTCCTCTGGGTCTCCCATGCGGGTGCAGAGTCCCAAGGCTTTGGGCCATCCTTGACTGCTTTCCTAGCCACAAGCAGGGAGCTGGAAGGAAAGTGGAACAGCAGGGACACAAACAGGTGCCCACATGGGATCGCAGGCATGCAAGCAAGAACTTTAGCTACTAGGTACTGCACCAGGCCCACCTTACCTAACTTTTTCACATGATGAGGATTCTCCAGGAGCCCTCTGGAGCCCACAGTGAGTAGGCCCCTTCCTTAGGCGCTTGATTCCACCAGCCCCACCTGAGGGCCATTTTCCCTAAGCCTCACTCTCATTTTCCCTCTTCCTTCCCCATTTCTTGACACCCTCCCCACACCCCAGCCTGCCTGCTACTTCCTTCATGCCCCAAAAAGGCATCTGTATCCATGTTCTCCCATGTGCAGCCAGTTTCTTGCTATGCTTTAACGTTTGGACTGTGGAAATGTGGCTCCTTTCTCACAGTGGTTCCGCTTTGCTTCTTACTCTGTATGACAGCCAGGCTAGCATAGAGCTAAGAGCCCAACTTCAGGACTATCAAGGTTTCAGGAAATTTATAGTTGAGGCCCTGTATAATAGCCTAGTGGCTAACGGCCGCACGTTTCATATGCCGGGATCCCATATGGGTGCCAGTTCGTATCCCAGCTACTGCACTTCCTTTCCAGTTCCCTGTTGTAGCCTGGGAAAGCAGTCAAGGATGGTCCAATGACTTGGGACCCACCCATGTGGGAGACCCAGAGGAGGCTCCTGGCTCCAGATCTGCTCATCTCTGGCCATTGCGGCCACTTGGGGAGTGAATCAGCAGATAGAAGATATTTTTCTCCATCTCTCCTCTCTGTAAATCTGACTTTCCAATAAAAATAAATAAATCTTAAAAAAAAATTTTTTTTTGTAGTTGAGTTCTGGTAACACCACTGCATTATCTTGGTTGCCCTCTTAATCTACATAACCCTTGGATATTTAAAGATTTATATATTTCTATTTATGTATATAATCATAAGAGAAATATTCACTTTAAACTACAGGTGTATTGCTTTATTCATGTGCTTCAACTGGAACTCTGTATAGACAGTCTCCTGGGGGCCTTTGTCTACTAATCCAACTCACGGAAAACTTAACCTTCCTGCTGCCTTCAGGGAAGGCAGGAGAACAAGGTAGACTGGAATGGCTTCAAAGACCTATCTTCCCATCAAAGACACTTCCATGTGAAATAGCAAAACGCCTTTCCAAAAGACCAGTAATGAGCTTTGGAGGTCTGTGCACTTAACAAATTTCACTAGACAGATTTATTTATTTTTATTGAAAAGACAGATCATATTTACAGAGAGGAAACACAGAGAGAAAGATCTTCCATCCGCTGTTTCATTCTCCCAAATGGACACAACAGCTGGTGCTAAGCTGATCCAAAGCCAGGAACCAGGAGTATCTTTAGGGTCTCCCACATGTGTGCAGAGTCCCTGGGATTTGGGCTATCCTCTGCTACTTTTTCAAGTCATAGTAGGGAGACGGATGAGAAATGAGGCATCCAGGACATGAACTGGTGCCCATATGGGATCCTGGCACTTGCAAAGGGAGGATTTAGTCCTTGAGCCATCACACCAGGCCCAACCCTCAGATATTTATTTATTTATTTATTGGTAAAATGGGATCACAACATCTCAAACAATTCTCAGATACTCAGAAGGATCCTATAATCCTGGTTCCTGCTGGTGGTTTGGCTTACAACACTGCTATTGGCTTGGTGCCATGGTGCAATTACATTAAATTAAATCCACTGGCTGTTGCCTTACATTCTCTTCCATGCTGGTTTGGAAGAAAATATCTGTTAAACAGCAAGTCCGAAAGACCTAGAGCTTCTTACACAGGGCTGGAGAATGTCAACAACAGCTTTCCTTGAATGTGCAGAGAATGGTGGCCAGTGCTTGCCTTGGGCACACCGTAAGGTGGCATGGACTTCTCAGAGCCCTTTGCGTGGGGTGACAGCCGCCAAAAGAGCTGTTGGTTCGTGGACAGATGAGCTACACTTGTAATCTTCCCTTATGAAGGGGCCTCAGGAATTAAAACACTACCATGGGCCAGCGGTTCAGGTCAGGCCGCTCCAATTCTGATCCAACTCCCTGCTTGTGGCCTGAGAAAGCAGCAGAGAATGGCTCAAGTCATTTGGCCCCTGCACCTCTGTAGGAGACCCAGAAGCTCCAGGCTCCTGGCTTCAGATTAGCTCCACTTGAGCCACTGCTGCCACTTGGAGAGAATCAGTGGGTGGAAGATATCTCTCTCTCCTTTCTGTATAAGTCCGTCTTTCAAATGAAAAGAATTAAAAAAAAAAAAAAAGCCACCTGCCCTGCCTAATTGGAAACACCACTCACCAATCTACTAACACCATCTACTATTAGATGCCTAAGGTGTCCACCAAGTACCCTTGCGTACATGGGTCACTCTCAAACAAGGGCTTCTCCAAACCACACGAAGGTCTTCCTGGTCTCAGGGAAGAACTGAAAGCACAGTATTGAAGCATGTTCCCCAGAACTGATGTTGTGCAAATTGTACCCATTTAAAATCCCACCCATGGTATTGTTAGGGGGAGATCATACTGTAGATAAATTTTGCCTGTGGTGCCCAGCTAATATTCTCCCCCTACCCCTTTAAGGCAGAGTTACAGAGAGGAGGAGGAAGATTTTCCATCTGCTGATTTATTCTTCAAATGGCCACAATGGCTGGGGTTGGGTCAAGCCACAGTCAAGAACCTAAAACTCCATCTGGGTCTTCCACAAGTGTACCAGGGCCCCAAATACTTGGAGCCATTTTCTGTTTCTTTTCTCAGGTCATTAGCAGAGAGCTGGATCAGACTCTCTGATCCAGTTGGAGCAGCCGAGACTCCAACTGGTACCCATTAGGGATGCTGGCTTCCTAAGTGGAGGCCACTTAGGAATGCGATGCACCAGGCCCCATGCTCATGTTCTTAGTGTATACATTTTAGGAGGACATGAGGAACACAGGGCATACAATGTGAATTGACTGCAAGCAGCATCACTTTGGCCAGCCCTCAACATGCCTCAGTGATTGACATTGCACAATCCTGACAGTTGGGCAGTCCCACATCTGCCATTCACTCAGGGATTCTTTATTCATACCAGCTGTGAAACTTAACACAGGAAGTAAGAATTTTCCTCAACTGAAAAGTGATAGAAAAAAAAAAACGAAATAATGCTCAAATCTAAAAATGTCTCTAAGTGGAAAAGACTATGCTAAAGAGCAAAAAGTATGCATGTGTTTGTGCAAAAAACCCACGCAGTTTCCCAAGAAACAAACTTGCCTTGGGAACAGTCACTGGCTTTAGGGCTGCCAGTGGCTTGGGCAGTGTTTGACTTAGGAGCACCGTGGCCAGCCCATGTCTTAAAATTGGGCCAAGAACACTGAGGTTTTCACGGTGAATGTGTTTTTGCAGCTGCCTGTTTTCTCCTGTAACACATCTGCAGGCACAACAAACCAACCCACCAAAGCTGGGGGCCCTGTGGTCTGTCCTTGAAGGTGACCCCAGTGTTCCTGGGCAATCCTGCCTCCTGGGGGCAGGGCAGGGCAGTGGGGAGAAGCCCACCGTCATCCCCTTTCCAGCCTGTGCTCGCTGTACTTTTCTCTATGCCTGAACTTTCCATCAAAATGCATGTTGACTTCTGTTAGAAATGCTTGAATTTTCCAGAATGCCATCTGATTCTACAGAATGTTCACATCAAATTCTCTTTATAGGTTAGCTGAGAAGAAAGGGTCCCGAGCTGCCTCATCTCTTCCTGACCTGCCCAGGGACAGATCTACCATTAAGCCTGCCCACAGCTCAGAGCTAAAGGAACCCAAACACCTACAGAGACTCCAGGTCTGGCAAGGACCTGAGAGGCCATTTTATCCTCATTTCTTACCTTTAAGCATGGCCATATCCACTGGCAAATACCGGGCTTATTTAAAATGTGAAAATGTTACATTTCAAAATGAAACCTAGTCAAGATGAAGTTAAAAAAAAAAACTACAGGTTGGGCATATGCCACGGTGATTACAATGTTACAATGTCACTTGAGCTGCCCATGCTTCATATCAGATGGCCTGCTGGAGTCCCAGCTCCTCAGCTTCTGGTCTAGCTTCCTGCTGACAGACACTCTAGAAGCAGCAGATGATGGTTCAGGTACTGCCTCCCTGCCACCAGGTGGGAGACCGAGATCCACTTCTGGGCTCCCGGCTGAGGGTAGGCCCATTCCTGGCTGTTGCAAACATCTTGGGGTGAACAAACAGAAGAAAGATCTCTCTCCACTACCACCACTCCATTTAAATAAAATTAAAACAAATAACATTTTAAAGTCAGTTCTCTGTAAAGTATTTGGAATTTTTTTTTTAAAAGAATTATTTGATTTCAAGGTCAGAGTAACAGAAAAAGAGACAGCAAGAGATTGTCACTCTGCTGGTTTAAGCCCTGGTCTAAAGCCAGGAGCCAGGAGCTTCTTCTGAGTCTCCCATGCGGCTGCAGGAACCCAAGGCCTTGGGCCATCCTCCACTGCTTTCACATTTGCATTAGCAGGGAGCTGGATTGGAGGTGGAAAAGGCAAGACTAAAACCTGTGTCCCTATGGGAAGCCATCATTGCAGGAGGAAATTATCTTGCTATGCCACCAAGCCAGCCCCATATTTAAAAAGCTTTGTAGAGCTGAGCCTCTATCTCTCACCTATGCACATGTGCTTTTCTTTGCCAATACCCTTAGTATACGCCTAGTCTGCCTACTGAGCAAACTCCCACCTAGTGTACTCTTACATTTCTCACAAAATAAATACTTTGAGAGAACATTTGGGTAATTAAGATGCCCCTTGGGGCTGGTATTATGGCTCCTGCCCGAATCTCCAGCATTCCATATGGGTATTTTTTGTGTACTAGCCACTCCACTTCCAATCTGCTAATGGCCTGGGAAGAGCAGTGGAAGGTGACCCAAAAGTTTAGGCACTTGCACCAAGTGGATGAGACCTGGATGAAGCGCCTGGCTTTGACGCAGCCTGGCCTGACACTGGCCATTGCAGTCATCTGGAGAATGAACCTGCAGAGAGAAGGGTGCTCTTTCCCCCCACCCTCATTCTCTCTCCATGTGCATGTGCATGTGTTTCTCCCTCTCTCCAGAATCCTAACTTTCAAAATAAAACATACACCTTAAAAGGAAAAACAGAGAGATGCTACTTGGCACACTTACCAGAGTTCTGGGTTCTAATTCCAACTGCTCTGCTTCTAGTCCAGTTTCCGTTAGCAATTAGCACAGCCAGGGAGGCAGCATGTGTTGGCTGAAAGTCTGGACTGGGTTCCCAACTCTGGCTTGTGGCTGGCCCGGAATGGCTTTTGTGCACATTTAGGGAATGAACCAACTGACGGAAGATTGAGATCTTTCTCTCTCTTTCCCCTCCCCATTCCTGACAAAACTAAATAAATCATGTGTGTGAGTTTATTTATTTTTTTATTATAATTATTTTCACTTTTCTCTTGCTCACAGATGCTTCACAGAGTCAGGAAAGAGCCCAGCCCCACCAGCTAGTTTATCCTGAGCCATGTCCTTCCCACCTGAGCAGACTCCAACAGGATCCTCACACTCTGCTCACCTTGGCACTGTGCCCTTTTTCTGTAACTGTAATTAGAACACATGAGGGACCAGAGCCGAGCCTCCTCAGAGGCTCAGACAGAGAAGTGGACAGCACAGTCAGGTGCACATGGAGGATATGGCAGTCTATTAGAACCTGCAGAGGATACGTGGCACTGCAACAGAAGACAGAACCAATCAATCAACTACCCCAGCCAATGTTGGCAGTGAAAAACTAGGCAAACGGAGACTCTAAGGTGGACTACGTCAATTAGTGGATTCTGCAGCAACTTCATCGTGCTTGGAATGGCAGGATTGGTAGCAATTCATAACTGTTGAACTATCAAAACCACTTGAGCAAGACCACATCGGGGACTTGGGATGGGTGGAAGACTGGGTGGGGCTTCTCCCTTCACTTTCCTCTAGCCCTTGATCCTTTGTGCCGTAATTAACCATGTAAAGATTGTCAAAAATAAAGAAAAAAATTAAAAAGAACACATCAAGGAAGGAAGGGCTCGTGAACCTCCTTCGTTATTAAAAGAATAAACAGGTGACAGCATAGATCTTGACAATCCCTGGCCATGAGGTGTGTGGCTCAACCCAGAGTGGAGGTAGACATATTCAGTCCATTTCCACGTTGCTGGAATGAGCAGACTGAGGGCAATGCAGGAGAGCTGCAATGCCCAAGAGATGTGGAGAATGTAAAGTGATCAGAAGGAATCCAGTCCATGCTACAAGACGACTAGAAGGCGCTGATCATGGGAGAAGCAGGGGTCGCCGTGTAAGCACAGCAATAGCAAGAAATGCTCACGGAAGCTGGCCAAGCCGACTTCATGTTTGTTACCTGCTTCATCTTCGGCAAAGGAGATGATGAACTTGCTGTAGGTGTTGATCAGCCCTGGGAAGGCACAGGTCACAGTGCTGCCTGAGCAAATGTCCCGCTTCTTCCACTTCTTGCTTTTCCTATCTTCCTGCAAAGCCATAAGTCGACTACATGAAAAATAAAACCTTATATTTTAGGAATCCGTATTGCCACTCTGTAGGAAACTTTTTCATCTAGAATCTCTGAATCCTCAAGTTCAATAACTGGGTCTCCCATAAAGAGATGAATAACTAATGGTCCCCCCAAAAGCAAGGCTGCTCTACATGGGGAAGTGTGTAATTTAATATTATAAAACAAGTGTTTTGTTTTATTTTGTTTTGTTTTGTTTTTGTCTTGACTAAAGTCCTCGCCTTGCACACGCTGGGATCCCATATGGGCACCAGTTCTAATCCCAACAGGATCACTTCCCATCCAGTTCCCTGCTTGTGGCCTGGGAAGGCAGTCAAGGACAGCACAGAACCTTGGGACCCTGCACCAGCGTGCGAGACCTGGAAGAAGCTCCTGGTTCCTGGCTTAAGACTGGCTCAGCTCTGGCCATTGTGGCCACTTGGAGAGTTAATCAATGTAGAGAAGATCTTCCTCTCTGTCTCTCCTCTTCTATGTATATCTGCCTTCCCAATAAAAAATAAAATCTTTTAAAAAACACACAGTTTGGTGCCCTGTGAAATTCATATCGCTGTAAGACTTCTTTTTCTGAGTTCTGTGACCTGTGGCTAGTTGTCTAGTATATGTAAGGGGCAGTTTCCTCATCTGTAAAATGGTAACTGTTGTGAAAGTTAAAACAACCAATCATGTAATTAAGGCCTCACCACTATTTCTGATAAGGGCTCACAATCCACTAGCTGTTACTATTACATTGACGTAATAGCAAGTAGTTGCCTCACAGCACACTTTTTATTCCACTCTATTATACAGAAGCTAAAAACAATAAACCAATAAAAAATACCAATCTGAGAAAATAAAAGGTATCTATTGTCTCAGATCAATGCTCATTCACATGTAAGACCCAACAGAATATTTTTTTAAATAGCTACTAAAACCAGCGAGGAGTTAGCAAGGCTGCCAGATATAAGATCAATATGCAAAAAAAAAAAAAATCCTGTAGGATAAAGAATCATAAATTGAAATTTAACAAAATACCATTTATATATAGTATCAACATATAGATTACAAGACCCGGCCCTAAAAACTACAAACATTATAGCAATTTACTGACAACATCCCAAAACTCAGTATCCATCACTAGAGAATAGGTAAATAAATTATAATGCCCTCATACAACTGAACAGTGCCAAGCCATCAAGAAGAAAAACTACTGATACATGTTCACAGCAAGGATGAATCTCACAGACAACTCTCACAGACAGCAGTACCATCACTATGATTCCATCCATATAGGAAGTTCCAGAAGCAGAACTAACGTATCGTGAGGGTGGTTCTCTCTGGCTGTTCTATGTGCAGGGACACATGAAGGGAATGAAAGAATGAGAGAGAGAGAGAGAGAAAGGTGGCTTTGACAAGTTAATAGACAAGGAATCTTCAAGGATGACAGATAAGCTCTGCATTATGACATGATTAGTGGTGAGACATTCATAAAACTTTATCCCACCGTGCTCTTAAGAGCTTGTAGTCCATCATATGTAAGTGACACCCAATAAAAAGATGCAAATAACAAAGGGAGAGGATATATTGGTCCTTCCTTACCCACTCATGAAGTCCCCAAAGATGTAGAGACCGTTAAGATTTGGAGATTCACATCCGCGGTAGACATAGCCTCCTGTGACTGACTTGCCCACAGCGTGGCCATAGGCATAGATGGGCAGAACATCATCTGTCCAGGAGCAAGGCAAAGGTGTCAAGGGCACTTTAAGGAGGAAGAAAGGGGCTTTGAAATGCAGTTGATTGGCTCAGTGAGGAATACTTTATCTCTTTAGTCATCAGGGCAGATTGGCAAGTGAATTAGTCATTCTTCCCAATAGACCAATCACATTATGATCTGTTACTGAAGTTAAAGATTCTCACATATCTAGATTTCCCCCCAAAGTTTATAGGGCAGATAATCAGGTTTAAGGAGATGGAAAGTATTGTGAGGCTCTATACAACTGCTTGGTAACTTAGAGGGCAGACACAACTCAGCAAGGCTGATGGAGTCAGAATATTTGGCTCTTAAGCCAGGCAGAGTTTCAAAAGGACAGTATGATTGTTGATTATAGGCACTGCACTCACAGATGACTGAATGGAAATCATTTCAGGGGGCTGTCCCAACGGGGAAATAAATAAGCTGCCAATTTTGTTCTGCCAGTTGTTCTCAAAATCATGTAACTTCTTTACACCATAAATTCTTATGTCAAGGCCATTTTCCCAGTCCACTCAAGATTTTGATTCATTAGATCTAAGTAAAGTCTAAGAAAATACATTTTTAAAAAAATATAAAAGGAAACAATATGGAAAAAAATAATTGTCTTACCCACTTTCCTGTAGCCCTTGAAACTTTTTGCCCTAATTAACCATGTAAAGATTGTCAAATATAATTAAAAATAAATAAAAATACATAAACTTAGCTTTCTTTTCTAGTCAATAGTCAGACAACACTCCACTTCACCAAACAGAATAAATATTCCTATGGCCCAAGCAAAGATCATTATTTTTACAGACAGAGAAGGGCTTCAAGAACACAAACGCAGAAACAACAAACATATTGGTCATTTAAAAGCTAATTTCCCTGTAAGGAGGGACAGGGAGACCAAACAATAGACAAATAATTGATTGGTCAACGTCAGGAATCTACTTTTCAGCAAATATTGCCAAGCATCTCTGGTGCCAGCAGTTGGAGGACCACTCAGAGACCTGCTGTCCCAAAGGACACAAACAAGGCACCATTCAAACCACTAAAGGTATTCCTCCCTCCACATCCAACCCATCCATGTCATTCATGAACTCACCCAGAGAACCCCTTACTTACTCAGTGAGGTATTGAAGCAAAGCTTTTTGTCATAACATTCAAAGCCTTCTTTGGCCCTCCAGCCATAGTTTCCTCCTTTAACAATGAGGTCAATTTCTTCAAACTTGTTCTGGCCCACATCCCCACAGAATATCCGGCCTCGGCCCTGGCGTGTGATGGGGTCCCCTCGGTCTACAGCACAGCGCCACATGTTTCGGACCCCATAGGCATAGACGGCGGGGTGAGCTCCCAGCTCAGAAACAAATGGATTGTCCAAGGGGATTCGGTACTGCCTGCCACCAGAGCCTGCCCCATTCACGTCGATCCTTAACACTTTTCCCAGCAGTGAACTTCTGAAAGACAGAAGGCCAAGAGGCAAGCACAGGTGAATAAGAGCATTAGAGCAGACCACTTGACAGGCCTGACTGATCATTAACACTGGCAGGAGCCACTTGGGGAGACATGACTTGCATCATTCTTTTAAATGTATACAAGAGATTAAGATTTGCCCATTTAGGGGCCAGAACAGCATAGCAAGTTATCCACGTACTTGTGATGCCAGCATCCCATATGGGCACCAGTTTAAGATCCAACTGATCCACTTCCAATCCAGCTCGCTGCTAACACACCTGGGAAAGCACCAGAAAATGGACCAAGTGCTTAGGCCCTTGGACTCCCATAGGAGACTCAGAAAAATCTGCTGGCTACTGGCTTCAGCCTGGCACAGTTGCAGTCATTTGGAAAGCAACCCAGCAGATGGAAGATTTGTCTCTTCCTCTCTCTGTGTAACTGTAACTTTCAAATAAATAAATCAGTCTTTAGAGAAAGACATTTGCCCAATTTTGGCTTCTGAAGAACTGCCAAGCAAGCACCCAAATTATTTCTTATTAATTTCTCTTGGGTCTCCGACACCAAGCTTAGTGCCTGGAACACAGTGCTCAATACTGTGGAGTTTAACTCAGTTGGATGATCGGCATGGTAGATAATGTCCTGCTAACACGCATTTGAAATTCTGGCTCCTTCCCTACATAGCACCCTGAGAGTGACAGTACATGTGCAGAGTATTAACTACTGAAATACACAAGGTCTGGAATCTGTAGGCCAGAAAACCAAACATCTCCCACCCACCTCAGTGAATGGGAAGATAGCTTATGGCAAGTGATTTGGGTTTGCCTCCATCCTAGCGAGAGTGCTGTCTCAGGGATTCACTCCAAGGGCCTGCCCGCAGCTTACTTGTTCTGAGCATTTCCAAACTTGCCAAAGGGGTCCCCGGCCTGCCCTCCATCCCCAGTGAATATATACATATAGCCATCCAAGCCAAAAAGAAGTTGTCCACCGTTGTGATTGGAGGCTGGTTCTTCTATCTCCAAGATGATCCTAGATGTGACGAAGAAATTATACATTAGGGTTTGACCCAGGCTGAATATAGCCCCATCATCTCGTAATACCCAGAAGTGACAACAGGACCTGCCAAGGCAAACAAAACTCCCCACAGAGTTTCCGTGAAGCAGGTAACTGTGGCACTCTGAGATGCCCCATGCTCCCTGGTGTGACTCCTTCATGGGCCATTTTTCTTCCATACTGTGACCTCACAAGCTGCAGCCCAACCATGACATCAATTGTCCCTTTCTAAGGCTTGTCCCGACTCTCTGCTGCACCAGGACTCCTGATCTCTTCATCAGGACCTACTCTACCTGTTCAAGCTCTTTCCAGATATAATATGTAAAGACAAGGCAGAAAGGAGAAGGAAAACAGGCAGAGGCGTAGAGCAGAAAGAACGTTTGAGTTTGAGGTCAACTTTGAGTCTTCATCTGACCATGGCCTTGTGCTGCAGTTTGCTGTGGGGATGGGAAGTCATGTTCTGGGATAGAATGGCCATGAACTGATCAGAGGCTGTTATTCTATTTGATGTACTGAGACTATCTGTGACAATTTCCCAAAACCCTAACGTCACTGACAGTTGCTTGTCCTCCATAAAAGCAAACAAGTGTGACCCTCATTAGGTGAGGGGATGACTATGCCGCCACAAAGACAAGTGACTCGAGTGACTCGTGGGCTGTCTGATTTCTAACCAACAATGGCTCCTTTTTCAACTTCCTCATCAAATGCTCTCAACCCAATAGGGCTCCCTCTTATCATCTCCAAGGACTGACTTGCCACTATGTTGGGCACACCTGACAGCGCTACAAACCCTCACCCATGGATCTCACCTCTCAGATTTGGGGTCAGCTTTGTTGGGATCAGCCCGAGAAACCTTCATCTCACTAATCCGGATCTTTTCAACCTTCCTTCTGCCCAGAAAGGAATAATAAATATAGAACTTGCGGTTGCGACGGAATTGAGGATGAAAGGCCAAACCCAAGAAGCCTCTTTCATCTCCGATCCACGGAGTGGTCAGCACAGCGCTCTTGAGGTCCAGGAAGGGTTGCTCCAGGCGGCTGCCATCAGGGAGGTAGACCCACACCACGCCCACTTGCTCGGCCACAAAGAAGCGATGTGAGCCGTCCCCTGCATGGACCATGGCAACAGGGTTCCTCAGCCCGTTGGCCACCTCAGCAAGGCAGAGCTGCAGGCAGCCTTCATGGTCCTCAGCCACCACACCCAGCCTGCGGTTGAGCTGGTCATTCCTCAGGACATTGGGGAAGCAATAGTCCTTGTCAGGAAGGTTGAGGAGGTGGCAGAAGCGGGCACTGTCCTTGTCCTGGGCGTCCTGGAGGTCACGGTCATTGGTCAGCAGGGAGATGGCGGAGTGGCAGTTAGAGTGGAATGCAAAGCAGTAATCAGAGCAGAGGCCCGGAAGGTTCCGGAGGGGCGTCTGCGGGTTCTCGGCATCATATAGGTGAGCGGCATAGGGCGAGCACTCCTGGAAAGGAAAGGAAGCTGGTGTGGGTTTGAACAAGTGAACATGGGAAACGTCAGGGCGCTGAGGGGATTGAGACCTGTTACCGGTAAGTCACTTCTCTGTGACCCAAGTTTTCTGCAGTTAATGATTTAGAAAGGCAGAAAAGAATATGAATCAACCTCTCACTCTGCCCTAAACTGTAGCCTTTTTAGCTTAGTTCTTGACATGCAAGTTCTATCAAAGAATGGATAGATTTATAAGAAGACAGAACCAAATATTACCATCTTTCCCTTTCTTGCAAATGTCAAAGTAGTGAGATTTGATTTCCTTATCTAATTCTGAAGTAATTGAAGTAATTTGGTAGAGACTGCACGTTTGTCGAATCTGGAGGTTGGAGATGCAGTGCTAGTGCTTTCAGAGGCTGTGCCTTTCCAGGTTGGAAATATAATGAAATATAATGAAGATGATCAAAATGGACATTCAGACTGTCACTCCCAGAGATTCAGTGTCTAAGTCATCTCTTTACGTGTTCATTAGAAATACTTAATAGTTTAACATGTGCAAAGCATCAGCCACACTTTCTGTGTGCACTGCAGCCCGCGGGCGCTGCTCTGTCTCACTGCCCCTGACTGTGAGCTGCTGAGCAAGCTTCTACTCAGCTCACTCAGCAGACGTCTCTATTTCTGGGTGAGGAACCTCAGTCCAGGAAGCGTCTCCATTAGGTGATTCAACAATTGAGTCTCCTCTGCACATGGCTGGTGAAACTACTCTTGCTAGAGCTCAGAAAATCACTCAGCAAATGGACCAGTCCTGCTATTCTGTGTCATGACCAAAATGCCACAACTTGGAGTCCAAGCATCTAGACTTGTGTCCCAGGACTACATGACCTCGGACAAGTCATTTACAATGCCGGATTCCTCGTGAGCAACACAGAAGTCATTATCACTGCCTGTACAGTCTTCCCTGGGAGCACACTGCATGTGCAGGGGAGGACTTGTCGATGTTCTTTTAAAGATTTTTAAAATTTTATCTGAAAGGCAAATTTTTACAGAGAGAAGAAACAGAAAAAGTCTTCCATCCACTAGTTCACTCCCTAAATGGCCACAATGACCAGAGCTGAACTATTCCAAAGCCCAGGCTCCCATGTAGGTGCAGAGTCCCAAGGCCTTGAGTCAACCTCTGTTGCTTTCCCAGGCCATAGCAGAGAACTGGGTTAGAAGTGGAGCATCTGGAACACAAATCGACATTCTTGTGGGATGCTGGCACTGCAGGGCAGGGGATTAGCCTATTGTACCACTGTGCCGACCCCCATCCTTGTATATCTTTAACAAATGGACACAGCGACGCATATTTGGCTGATATTTTTCTAGTGCCTCAAATCCCTAAAACAAAAAATACATATATTTTTTAAAGATTTATTTACTTTTACTGCAAAGTCTGATATATAGAGAGGAGGGGAGACAGAGAGGAAGATCTTCCGTACATTAATTCACTCTCCAAGTGAACACAACGGCCAATGCTGTGTCGATCTGAAGCCAGGAGCCTCTTCCAAGTCTCCCACAAGGATGCAAGGTCCCAAGGCTTTGGGCCATCCCCAACTGCTTTCCCAGGCCAAAAGCAGGGAGCTGGATGGGAAGCAGAGCTGCCAGGGTTAGAACCGGAGCCCACATGGGAACTCAGCATGTTCAAGGCAAGGACTTTAGCTGCTAGGCCACCGCACCAGGCCCCCCAATTTTTTAAATCTCAGAAGTAAATGGTATGAATGCTGTTCACAAAAGTCCTGCTGCTGCCCACGTGGTTATCCCAGGGTTAATTCTCCAGGAAGCTACTGAGGGCTGGACATTAAGGGGAAAGTGTATTGCCCAGGGCTGCACTACCTAGGTGGCTGGCTTTGGGCCCAGCCTGGCTGGGATTTCTCCTCTACACTCTGGGAAGCTTGGTACTTGGTGTCCCTGGCAGGGGTGTGGTGGTGACCAGCATGCTCCAGCTAAGTGGCAGCAAGAAGCATGAAGAGACAAGTGGTGGGTGGCGAGGCAGTTGCTGGGATGCGCCCAGGGGTGGTCTCGGGTCGGCCTGGACTTTGTCTCCTCCCTAGAGCGACCCTCCCCGGCATGACCTCCTGCACCAGCTCGAGGTCAGCCTCTGCCCTTGCACTGCTAAACACTGCACAGTCTGCAGCCCTCGGTGTTCAGGCGAGGCCTCCCAGGGATGTGGATTTTGGCTGTGGGAGAGCCCGAAAAAACAGAAACTCTGAGTCACCGCCACGGTGCTGCTTGAAGTTCTGTGACGCTGGGCAGGCAGGACCCCAAGGAAGAGGCTCCAGCCCCAGCTGCGGCCCACAACACTCCAGAATCACCTGGGGCGGGGAAGATTGGATCTCGGCAGACACTCCCCCCATCTTGCACTCTACTGCAGTACAGGCTACAGGTGGGAGTTGAACCTAGCCCTTTCAGCACTGAAAGGAGGACTCCCCCTCTTCCTCAGAAGAACCCCACAGGAAGAACCTGAAGTGCCTGTGGAAGCCTAACTCAGCATCCTCTCCCTTCAGTGGAGCCTGCAGCTCCAAGGTGAAGTACCTGGCTGGTGAGCCCCATGAAGGCTGGGTCCCCTCTCCCCAATACTCTCCCTCTGCAACCCAGCACCTCAAGTCCCAAAGGGCTGGCAGGTACCCTGCCCAGGGCTCCCTCTCCATTCCTTCAGGGCTGTGCCCAGGGCCTACCTGGCACAGGATGTCTTTAATGTAACCTCCACATAGCTCGTGGCCCCTCAGATCGAAGTAGTCCATGATGTCCTGGTATCGGGCTGCAACGCGGCGGTCCTTGTGCTGGTCACAGCAGCCGAAGGACCCATAGTCGGAGCAGAACTCAAGGCGCCGGGATGGCCGGAAAGGGGGCCCATAATCCAGGCACTGGGGGTGTCCCTGCAGCAAGGCCACCTGGCTCAAAAAGATCACAAGGCAGAGGCCACAGGACAGCCAGGGGGGTCTACTCCCGGGACCACCCTTCAGACCAGAATTAGACCTCCTGGGCATTTTAGCCCCGGGAACACTCTGACTACTGTTTGCTCAGGTGGTTTCCCTGCTTTGCCCAGTTCCCTCCCTCTCTTCCTCCCCTGTCTTCTCTTCCTTCCTGCCCCCTGCCCCGCCCCATCCCCAAGTTCAAGGAAGGTGGATTCTGAGCAATGTCCCTTCAGAGAGCAGTAGCAGGCATCCCTACCTGCCCCACTCCACCTAGGCATAATGCTGGCACAAGCTGAGACGCTGGGAGCACATGGCTACTTAGCCTAAAGGTGCAAAAGTGTCTGTGGCAGAGGCGCAATGAATTCCTGCCAAGCAGCGGGTGGGGAGGCCAGGAAAGTCACACGTTTTATTACTTCACACACTGAGCAGCCCAGTCCCTGTGATTAGACTACGTGTTACAGAACCTCAGGGACACAGATGCAGGGCTGGGAAGATGGAAGCAGCAACCGGCAAGGAGAGGACAGTGAACAAGAATGACGGTGTCTTGGTTCACACTGCCAGAACAAAACACCTCACCGGGTAACTGACGGCAAGTGGAAATATATGTGTCATGGTCCTGGAGCCTGGGGAGTTCAAGATCTGAACAACAGCAGGTTCCTCACTGCTGGTGCCTGCTGCTGCTGCGTGCTCGCAGGGCAGGAAGGGGCAGAGGCTGTCTTCCTATGGTGGAAGAGGGGGAAAGAACAAACCACTTCCTCCAGCCCTTTGGTTGGGGCCTAATCCCGCTGATTAAGGAGGAGCTCTTGAAGTGCCTGGCCCCTCCACCTAATACACTGCTAGTTACTTTCACCACACAGGCTTGGGGAAATAGAACCAGATCAGAGCAGGAATGTGGCCAGGGGAAAACCAAGAGTCAACAAGGATGGTTGTCTGGGAAATCTGGGTCGTTTCTGTGCAATGTCTCCCCGCTCTAGGGGCCCTCACCTCACTCAGGGTTGAGATCCACATTACCGTCTAGGAATAAGCTTTACTTTGTACAAGTGCCTTATATATAACAGGCCTATCATGCACATTTCTTGAAGAGGATGAACACTGGAGTCCCCAATTCACACAGTCCCACAACATCGGAGGGGCCGCAGGCAGGAAGAGAGCTATGGGGACATGGGCTTACCTGCACTCACTCTCCTTTTGCTATCTCCATGGTCCCAGCCCTCCCTGCTAAAGTTTCTGAGATACAGATGAAACACACGCTGCTTCTTGTTCAGAGGCACACCCCTGGGGATGCCCTATGGGCTCCCCAGTTCCCAGCACAAACAGCCTTGGCCAGAAGGTCCTCAAGAGAGAAACCTGAGTCTCCATCTTACAGGCTCACACTCACAATGCCCTGGGTTACAAAAGCCCCAAAGAGCATTCAAACTACAAACTGCTGAAGCCTGGCTTTCCAATTTGTCATGCTCAGAATCATACCTAGTTGGGTGCTGTTTACAACATAAAATATGGCATCTGTGATTCATGGTGACGGTGCTGTTTCCACTGTGCTGTTTGCTTAAAGGTCAGATAACGTCACACTCTGGAAGCTTTGGATAGGAGGAGCAACACTTGGGCTCCTGTCAGTCAGGAAACTCAAGGTCACCCTGGTCTTCTTGGAAATGGGAAGTAACCATCAGGCCACGCAAGAATGGGCACATTCTCTCCTTCCACACACATTTATGACTCAATTTTCCTTCTGTCACAAAACAACAATACAGGTCCCCATAGTGTTGAAAGAATCAACACCCTGAGAGCCTGAGAGTAGGCTTATTAAAATAGGTGACATTTCAGACAGTACTGCCCAATACTTGTGATAATAATTACGCCATAACTGATTGTACAAGAGCTGTTCAGTGTCAGTTCAGAATCTAGACTATGTGCAAAGTATTATGCTGCAAGAGAAATACTAGCAGACGACATGCTCTGAGAAGTATCAAGACAGGAGGAGGGGTCCTTCTATACTCATCATTTCTTTCCAAAATTCCAACAGAACTTATCCCCAAAATATTTCCTCGTGGAGCTAAGTCCAATACAGATCAATAAGAATCTAAAGAAAGAATATTGTCCGTAACTGCTGGTTGCTCTGCTGTTCTGTCCTGCGTTGCTGTCCATTGTGTCCCTATGTGTTAATAAAGCTAATCATTTTATTTAAAAAAAAAAAAAAGAATATCAATTCAAGTGACAGCACCACAGGGTATATTTTATTACAGTTTCAGAGGAAGATCTGCACATGGTAACTGCTGTAGTATTGTACTCTCTAATTAAACAAATGTTTTTCACTTTAAAAACTATTTCTTAATAAATGTTAGTGTTACAAACAAGAAAATACATATTTTCAAGGAGCAGACAGTGAAACTCTTTCTTTAGCAATAATTGAAAACAAAAGAAAATACAAAAAATATACAAAAATAAATTTTTTGTAGTTGTTAAGACAACAAATAAATATAAGCATTAACCAATGAAATACTACTTGGTAGCTACTGTAAAATAACTAAATGTTATTATCAGTGTCCTGGATTTACAATACTGTATTTTTTCACTGATTTCTTCATGCGCTTAATTTTCTTCCTTAACATCTGATGATCTTGTTTTGAGATGTATCGAAAATACCTACAACCTAGAGGAAAAAAAGTTTTAATACTCATTATCAAATTTTATATTTCTACATTTAAAATTTTTTCCTTCATTTCTAGCATACTAATGATAATGAAAACAGATTTACATTACTATGCCAATATACCCTAAGCATTTTCAAAATGTCATTAACGACTGAAATGTGAAACTTTAAAGATGTTAGTGATCTCCTAAATTAAAGTGCATACTTTAGCTTATCTGCTACTCTCTGAAACCCTAGTCACAGAAGTATGCATGTTATATATTGTAAATACTCATATATTACATAAACCTTCTTCAAAAGCAAGCTACTATAATTCCCTTCCCAATGTCAGCTTGTAAATCAGACACAGGAGGGACATCTACAACAATTTAAAAAAATTTTAAAAAAGCTATCTTTTAAAATTTTTGTGTTCAGGACTGGAAAAAACACCACAGGTGGGAAAGTGTCACACATTTTCTGCTTCTTCAGCCATCTGGTGACTGTAATGGCGACAAAGGGGCTTAGCACTTACGAGAACCACTACCAGCTCCTCATAGTCATACTGCAAACAGAACCGTCTATCAAATAATGAGAAATAAAATAAAACTTCTGTAAGAAAACCGTAGGGCTGGCATTGTGACAGTGCTGGCATCCCATATGGCACTGATTCACATCCCGGCTGCTCCACTTCTGACCGAGTTCCCTGCTAATGACCCGAGAAAAGCAGCCAATGGTGACCCCACGTGCTTGGACCCCTAATATCCACGTGAGAGACCCGGAAGATGCTCCTGGCTCCTGGCTTCAGCCTGACCCAGCCCCAGCTATTGTAGGCAGCCAGGGAGTGAGAGAGAATGGAAGAGCTCTCTGTTCTCCCTCTCTGTAACTCTTTCTGGAAATTCATTTTCATTACATTCTTGGCTTACTTCTAGGAAATTGCTAGGACTTACTATACCTTTAGGAACCATTTTATTAACCTAGAAAGCAGTATGCCAGCATTTCTAATACCTTAATAGCTGGATGCAAAGGTGTTTGGGTATTCCTAAAATAATTTCTGTTTCTGCTTTTAACTAGCTCTAACCTAGAAAGAGCTTCACTTCCACTCTAGTAAAAAAGAAAAGCCTGAGAAACAATGAAATTTTAATTTGTTTTAGGTCCCCTAGAGAGTTAAGCACAGCCTACCAAGAAGCCAAAATTCCAAGGATCCAAGGACTCTCCAAAGAGAATCAGGCCTGGCTTGCTTTTAGCAGAGCAGGGAGAAGCAGGCACAAAGAAATGGCAGACCACAATTACGATCTGAATTCACTGAAGGAATGCTGGCAACCAGAACCAAGCAGAAAACTCCCACTGTAGGGTAGGCCCACTTTCAGGCCTGGTGACACCTGACAGTCAGGAAACACTACAGAATGTGTAAGACACTTGGATGTTATGTTCATTGAACGGTTACAACAATCCTGGAAGCAAACGAGAACAGGTGTCCCAATACCCACTTCACTGACAAGTTTCCCGAAGGGTGTCTGTCTGACGTAAGACAGGTGAAGAACTGGAAAGCGAATCCGAGTCTTTGGACACTGTGTAGACACTAACATCTCCAGCTACCTATGTTAGACAATTCTGTACTTAGGTCCAAGTTACACTTTAGTTCCTTTTCATCAGTGTATCAGATAGCAAATTTAAAATTTCCCAATTTATTAACCTCTTTCTTCTATGAAATTGGCACTTTTTCTGATCCCAGGAACTATCCCGATGACTATGGACACCTATCGCATAGCACTGTTACTGGGATGACACTGGCACAGTGCTATGCGGGCAGGGGCTCTCACACAAAACGGCCACTGAGAACACTAATTCCAAAATAAAACACACCCCAAGATGAGCCAAATCTCTTCAAGATACATGTATGAAAATAACTGAATAACTGTCTTGCAGCTATTAAAACACCAAAAATACAATCAGTAACTCTGCTGAAATACTCCTCCAAAACAGATGGCTTTCTAGTAGAGTTCTTTATCTGGTTTAGTCCTTTTCTTTCTGAACACATTTTGTACTTCCAGATCAGATTTTAGTTCCTGGCTATTTTTTTATATTTCAGTGACACAAAGAGGTCATAGTTTTATCAGACAAAATGCACCATAAAGAAAAGATCAAATTCTTTTGAGAGGACCTGCAATAAGTTCAAGAAGGTATTCTTCCTCTGAAGGAGAGAAAACATTTCCTTCCTATAAGAATAGTTGAGCGGGCCCGGCAGCGTGGCCTAGTGGTTAAAGTCCTCGCCTTGAATGCACTGGGATCCCATATGGGCACCGGTTCTAATCCCAGAAGCTCCACTTCCCATCCAGCTCCCTGCCTGTGGCCTGGGAAAGCAGCAGAGGACGGCCCAATGCTTTGGGACCCTGCACCAGCATGGGATACCCGGAAGAGGTTCCTGGTTCCCGGCTTCGGTTCGGCGTAGTACCAGCCATTGCGCTCACTTGGGGAGTGAATCATCGGATGGAAGATCTTCCTC